CAAATACACGTCTCTTATCCAACCTTCCCATGAAAATCTTTGGTTGCTCCACTTTTGTCCATATATATGCCCAACACAGAAGTAAACTTGATCCAAAGTCACTAAAATGCATCTTTGTTGGGTACTCTTCCAATCAAAGGGGGTATAAATGCTATTCACCTGTCACAAGGAAGTTCTATAACACCATGGATGTTACATTCTTTAAGCAACAACCTTTTTACAAAATTGGTATGCAGGGGGAGAACTATACTCAAGAATACCAATCTTGGGATATTAATACCCTGGAATCATCTCCAGCCATCCCTTCCGAATCATCTCCAGCCCTCAATTCCAAATCATCTCCAGCTCTCAATTCCGATATCTCAGAATCTTCAATTCTTCAATCCAGTCAACTTCAACCCAAGCTCGGGTTATCCCAACCAGTCCAAACAGAGTCACCTCAACAAAGTCAGGACCTTACTTCAGCCACTCAATTTGAATCTCATTCCCAGGCAGAATTCCAAACACCTCCTGCAACAAAAGAGTTCCATGTTTACACTAGGAGACCCAAAGCTCAAGAAGGAAGAGAAAGGCAGACACCTTATCAGAACCATGAATTCAATCCGAATCTTGAATCTCAGAATTCACCAGGTAACACTAGTTCTGAACTCACACCTGTCAATCCTCCTATTGATGATAGACCTATTGCCTGGAGAAAAGGAAAAAGGTCATGCACTGATCATCCAATTTACAATTTTGTGTCATATAAAGGATTGTCACCTAGTCACTGTGCCTTTGTTAGCAATCTTGACAAAATACAGATTCTGAGCTCAATACATGAAGCACTCAAAGTACCAGAGTGGAAGGGAGCTGTTTTGGAAGAAATTCAGGCTCTTTGAAAAGAATGGAACTTGGGAAATATTGGAGTTACTAGCAGACAAACGCCCGGTTGGTTGTAAATGGATCTTCACAATCAAACACAATGTTGATGGCAGTATAAACAGATTTAGGGCTCGACTTGTTGCTAAGGGGTTTACTCAATCTTACGGAATTGATTACCAGGAGACCTTTGCCCCTGTTGCAAAACTTAATACAGTTCGGGTGTTACTTTCTCTTGCTTCAAATCTAGACTGGCCGCTATTTCAGCTTGATGTAAAGAATGCTTTCCTCAACGGGGATTTAGAAGAAGAAGTGTACATGGAGATACCACCAGGATTTGAGAGTGGAACAACATCCAACAAAGCGTGCAAACTCAAAAAGTCGCTATATGGCCTAAAGCAATCACCAAGGGCATGGTTTGACAGGTTCACTAAAGCTGTAAAAGGATTTGGGTATGATCAATGTCAGACAGATCACACTATGTTCGTCAAACATGCAGCCTCTACAAAAAAGGCAATTCTCATTGTGTATGTGGACGACATAATTCTGACTGGAGACAGTTTGGAAGAAATAACCAAACTGAAGAGTTTTTTAGCAAGGGAATTTGAGGTCAAGGACTTGGGGACACTTAAGTACTTTCTAGGAATGGAGGTAGCCCGTTCAAGAAAGGGAATTTCAGTAGTTTCTCAGCGAAAGTATGTGCTAGACTTGTTGAACGAAACAGGGATGCTTGGATCCAAGCCTGCTGACACTCCTATGGATCCCAACATAAAACTGGGAAGAAAGGATGACAGCGCACCAGTTGACAAAGGAAGGTATCAAAGGTTAGTTGGGAAACTCATTTATCTCTCCCACACTAGACCAGATATTAGTTTTGCTGTTAGTATGGTGAGCCAATTTATGAATGACCCAACAGAAGAACACATGGAGGCAGTATACAGGATCCTGAGATACTTAAAAATGACACCAGGTCAAGGATTATTCTTTAAAAGGTCTGAAAGGAGGGAGATTGAGATCTACACTGATGCAGATTGGGCTGGGTCTGTTACAGATAGAAGATCAACTTCCGGATATTGTACATATGTCTGGGGTAACCTAGTTACATGGCAAAGCAAGAAGCAGCCAATAGTGTCTCGAAGCAATGCGGAGGCAGAGTTCAGGGCACTAGCTCATGGTATCTGTGAAGGAATGTGGTTGAAGGGGGTACTTTGTGAACTAAAGATTCCCATTGCAAAACCTATGAGAGTGTTATGCGACAATCAGTCAGCTATCAGCATAGCAAAGAATCCGGTTCATCACGACAGAACAAAGCATGTCGAGATTGACAGACACTTTATCAAAGAGAAGATAGAGGCTGAAACGATATCACTCCAATACATTCCAATCACTCAACAAATAGCAGATATTCTAACTAAGGCCATACCCAGGAAGTTTTTTGATGAACTTAATTCCAAGCTAGAATTGCTCAACATCTACAACCTAGCTTGAGGGGGAGTGTGGAAATCCGGATTCTTTGTGATCTCTAGGATCCGGATCTTCTCTGATTTACAGAGGAGTGCTAGCTGTAAAGTAATTGTAATTAGTTTCCTAGAATAGAGGATTTGGTATTCATTCACCATTTCCTATTTTAGGTAGTTTCTAGTTTATGTTTCTCATTGTAATCCTATTTATTGGCTGTAATATTGAACCAGAAATAATGAGAATTTCATTCACAATTTCTCACAGTTTACAAAACGAATCAGGGCTCAGAGCTAATTAGAAAGACGTGACACAATACGTTTTAATAACTTCACTTTTTTTTTCTCTTTTTGATGGATTACTCGTCCATCGCATCTTGCTTATGTATTTTTCTTTGTTTCAATGAAGTTTTATCTTTACCGAAGTAAATAAATAAATAACAACTTTACCAATTTTTCTACATCTTCCACGAATCTAGTTCCTTCAGCTGCAATACTTGAATCAACAACCAAAGTTGATTGACAGTTCTTCTTTAGAAGTCCTAAAGTACGGTTAAGCAGATTTCCTGCAAATTAAGGGTACAGAGCTTCAAAATCCAAACAGGGATAAACTAATTAGAAAATATAATATCAACGGAAAAGAATTCTGACTTGAAATTAACGCGATACCTATAGTGTTAGCAAGATGTGCATTCACTGTGTTGATAAAACGGTCTTCTGAATAGTCTCCATCCCCACCAAATTCTACCTCCCTCAGAAAGAAGTATCTGACTGCATCTGAGCCAAATTTATTGACCAAATCATTCGGTTCGATTGTATTCCCTAGTGATTTTCCCATCTTCATACCATCCTATATTACAATAAAAAGCATTGCTGGATGAAGTAAAAAATTAGGTGAATGGAACAAAAATTAAAATCTCTAGCTACCTTACAAAGATATTTTCAATTCAACTTGACTGACAATTACCTTCTATCCAAAAACATGAATTCTAGAAAGACCATATTAGTACCCCGAATCATCTTCACAACCAGAAAGGCAGAAACCAAGGACTAAACCAGTTGCAGAACTCCCCCCTCCTTTCTTTCTGGGAATGGGGGAAAGTTCATTTGATGAAGCATAAAAATATAACACGGCCGCGACTTTGTAGATGATATATGATGAACAAAAGTTTACATGACAAACAACTAGCCCTATGATTTTGATTTCAGTAGCTCTCTCTAGAGATTCTTTTGTTTGTGAAAAGCAATTTCATATCAAGATACTTTCAAAGAAAACCATAAATTTCATGCTAAAAGTAAAATACCTTTGTCAAGAATCCATGGCCAAACACCATTTTGGGAAGGTCTAGTCTCGCAGACATTAACATCGCTGGCCAATAAACTGCATGGAAGCGTAAAATATCCTATAGACAACGTAAATATCCAAGTATCATATGAAGTAGCCTTGTGCAAGTAATAATAAGAAATAACAATGTTAAAAACTACCTTCAAAGTGCAAACATAAGGAGAAAGCACATTTGCAAGACAAACAAAAGCAAACCGGAAGAATATAACCATTTTTCAAATAATTTTGGAGAAAATGACCCCAAATCTCATTTTGATTTTGACATACACCATCTACTCCAGTGAATGTAACAACAACAATTAATATTATCGCAAACAATACTCTGGTGATCTGCGATGAGTTTGAGAAGGAATAAATGAAAGTCATAAAGTATTACTAATAGACTATAAAGAAAGTTAGAAAATTAAACTATTGCATGCGCTAGAGAGAGAAGTTCTCCCTTCTCTCTAGAATTCTAGGAGTCATCTTGTTTCATTTACTCATGATTCATAATGGCTAACACAGCCCAGAAATTTAGAACTAGACATATAAGGTTTTCGTTTTGACATTTCAGAAAGAACTCGTCTAGCTAGTTTCAACCTCGACGTGAATTTGGGAGGTGTTGCATGGCTACTCGAGACAGTGACTCAAGCAATCGATGCAGGGAGGAACGCTTCATTCCAGAAGAAATTCAGGGGATCGTCTTATCTCTTTTTGGTCGAAATTAAGTGGAACAAAAGAGGGAGCATCTTGAAGGTCATGAAGATTAATTGTTATTCCCGAAGAGTGGAAGGACCTCAGAGGTTGTTTGGCTGACATTTTTGGGAAGGAGAAGACCAGTAATAGACAAGAACCAGCCAACTTCAAGCACACTGATGCTAAAACATGGAAATTCAGGAACAGATTGAAGAACGAATGGGATTTTATAAAGAAAGTCATAGAAAGCAGGTTGGTTATATACAGGAACAGATTGAAGAACGAATGGGATTTTATAAAGAAAGTTATAAAAAGCAGGTGGAAAAGAATCACTGAGTAGTTCCAGTGGCTGCAGAGAATAAATGATCCATAGATGTGACATTTTCTGAGAGCTTTTCACTGTAGCAGAAAAAGTTAGATGTGACATTTTCTGAGAGCTTTTTACTATAGAAACCTAAAACTGAAAACTCGGATCGGTGAAATGAACGAGACCTTAGAAGATCTCGCCGGAGAAGATGATGAGGTAGAGGACAATTGGAAACGTGGCAATATTTCGGCTGTGAGACTAATACAGCGTGGAAAAGAGGTCGATGGCAAGAACGTCAGTTCGAAAATCAAGAAAAATATGGAGGATCAAGGAAAAATCTGGAATACAAGGACAAACTGAAAAGTCCCTCGAGAAGTGGAGCCATGCAGATAAAACGGTGGTTAGAGAGGCAAGGCAAGGGCGCCGAATGCCGATATTCAATAAATGGGAGGGTCCCACCCTAAACGGTGAAAACAAAAAGGCAATTTTAGAAGACTCCATCGAAACAACAAACCCTTTCGATGCCTTGGAGTTGCTTTGATTATACCGCAAAGAAGTGCGCTTCTAAAGGAAAAAAGGACATTTTAGATAAAATCCCAAGCAGATCGAAATCATTTATTTCAGAAAAGGATGCAAACAAGTCTCAGAGCCTAATAATACAGATTTGTTTCCACGTGGGGGAAAATTTTCACCAAACCGACTTAACGAAAATGACTTGCAGTTGGATAAAATCGTTAAGACAAGAGCAAAGCTATAGAGTCTCAAGAATATCTCCGAAGAAACATGATTTATTTTCACATGGGGAAACTTTTGACCAAACCGACTTGAGGAAAATGACATACAGTAGGATAAAATAGTTGAGACGAGCAAAACCATAGTCTCAAGAATATCTCTAAAGAATCATGATTTGTTTTCACGTGGCGGAAAATTTTAACCAAACCGACCTAAGGAAAATGACTTGCAGTTGGATAAAATCATTGAGGCAAGAGCAAAACCATAGAGGCTCAAGAATATCTCCAAAGAATCGTGATTTCTTTTCACGTGGGGGAAAATTTTGAACAAACCGACTTAAGGAAAATGACTTGCAGTTGGATAAAATCATTTAGACGAGCAAAACCATAGAGTCTCAAGAATATCTCCGAAGAATCGTGATTTCTTTTCACATACGGGAAAATTTTGACCAAACCAACTTAAGGAAAATAACTTGGAGTTGGATAAAATCGTTGAGACAAGAGCAAAACCATAGAATCCCTAGAATATCTCCGAAGAATCGTGATTTCATTTCACGTACAAGAAAATTTTGAACAAACCGACAGAAGGAAAATGACTTGCAGTTGGATAAAATCATTGAGACAAGAGCAAAACCATAGTCTCAAGAATATCTCCGAAGAATCGTGATTTCTTTTTACGTACGAGAAAATTTTGAACAAACTGACTTAAGGAAAATGACTTGCAGTTGGATAAAATCATTGAGACAAGAGCAAAACCATAGTCTCAAGAATATCTCCGAAGAATCGTGATTTCTTTTTACGTACGAGAAAATTTTGAACAAACTGACTTAAGGAAAATGACTTGCAGTTGGATAAAATCGTTGAGACGAGCAAAACCATAGATTCTCAAGAATATCTTCGAAGAATCGTGATTTGTTTTCACGTGGGGGAAAATTTTGACCACACCGACTTCGGGAAAATGACTTGCAAATGGATAAAATCTTTGAGACAAGAGCAAAACCATAGTCTCAAGAATATCCCCGAAGAATCGTGATTTCTTTTCAAGTACGGAAAAATTTGACCAAAGCGACTTAAGGAAAATCACTTGAATTTGGATAAAATCGTTGAGACAAGAGCAAAATCATAGAGTTCCAAGAATATCTCTGAAGAATCGTGATTTCTTTTCACGTGCGGGAAAATTCTCACCAAACCGACTTAAGGAAAATGACATGCAGTTGCATAAAATTGTTGAGACAAAGAGCAAAACCATAGAGTCTCAAGAATATCTCCGAAGAATCGTGATTTCTTTTAACGTGCGGGACAATTTTGACCAAACCGACATAAGGAAAATGACTTGCAGTTCGATAAAATCATTAAGACAAGAGCAAAACCATAGTCTCAAGAATATCTCCGAAAAATCGTGATTTGTTTTCACATGGGAGAAAATTTTGACCAAACCGACTTAACGAAAATAACTTGCAGCTGGATAAAATCGTTGAGACAAGAGAAAAACCATAGAGTCCCAAGAATATCTCCGAAGAATCGTGATTTCTTTTAACGTATAGGAAAATTTTGACCAAACCGACTTAAGGAAAATGACTTGCAGTTGGATAAAATCATTGAGACAAGAGAAAAACGATAGAGATTCAAGAAGATCTCCGAAGAATCGTGATTTCTTTGCACGTACGGGAAACTTTTGACCAAACCGACTTAAGGAAAATGATTTGCTTTGAGATGAGCAATACCATAGAGTCTCAAGAATATCTCCAAAGAATCGTGATTTCTTTTCACGCACGGGAAAATTTTGACCAAACCGACAAGAAAATGACTTGCAGTTGGATAAAATCGTTGAGACACGAGCAAAACCATAGAGTCCCGAGAATATCTCTGAAGAATCGTGATTTGTTTTCACGTGCGGGAAAATTTTGACCAAACCGACTTAAGGAAAACGACTTGCAGTTGGATAAAATCATTGAGACGAGCAAAACCAAAGATTCTCAAGAATATCTTCGAAGAATCGTGATTTGTTTTCACGTGGGGGAAAATTTTGACAACACCGACTTAGGGAAAATGACTTGCAGTTGGATAAAATCTTTGAGACAAGAGCAAAACCATAGAGTCCCAAGAATATCTCTGAAGAATCGTGATTTGTTTTCACGTGCAGGAAAATTCTCACCAAACTGACTTAAGGAAAATGACTTGCAGTTGCATAACATTGTTGAGACAAAGAGCAAACCCATAGAGTGTCAAGAATATCTCCGAAGAATCGTGATTTCTTTTAACGTGCAGGAAAATTTTAACCAAACCGACTTCAGGAAAATGACTTGCAGTTGGATAAAATCGTTGAGACGAGCAAAACCATAGTCTCAAGAATATCTCCGAAGAATCATGATTTGTTTTGACCTGGGAGAAAATGTTGACCACACCGACTTAACGAAAATGACTTGCAGTTGGACAAAATCGTTTAGACGAGCAAAACAATAGTCTCAAGAATATCTCTGAAGAATCGTGATTTCTTTTAACGTACGGGAAAATTTTGACCAAACCGACTTAAGGAAAATGACTTGCACTTGGATAAAATCATTGAGACAAGAGAAAAACGATAGAGTCCCAAGAAGATCTCTGAAGAATCGTGATTTCCTTTCACGTACGGGAAACTTTTGACCAAACCGACTTAAGGAAAATGACTTGCAGTTGGATAGAATCTTTGAGACAACAGCAATACCATAGAGTCTCAAGAATATCTCCGAAAAATCATAATTTCTTTTCACGTACGGGAAAATTTTGACCAAACCGACAGGAAAATGACTTGCAGTTGGATAAAATCGTTGAGACACGAGCAAAACCATAGAGTCCCAAGAATATCTCTGAAGAATCGTGATTTGATTTCATGTGGGGGAAAATTTTGACCACACCGACTTAGGAAATATGACTTGCAGTTAGATAAAATCTTTGAGACAAGAGCAAAACCATAGTCTCAAGAATATCTCCGAAGAATCGTGATTTCTTTTCACGTACGGAAAAAATTTGACCAAACCGACTGAAGGAAAATGACTTGCAGTGGGATAAAATCGTTGCGACAAGAGCACAACCATAGAGTCTCAAGAATATCTCCGAAGAATCGTGATTTCTTTTCACGTACGGGAAACTTTTGACCAACCAGACTTATGGAAAATGACTTGCAGTTGGATAAAATCGTTGAGACCAAGGCAAAACCATAGAGTCCCAAGAATATTATCAAAGAACCGTGATCTGTTTTCACGTGGGGGAAAATTTTGACCAAACCAACTTAAGGAAAATGACTTGCAGTTGGATAAAATCGTTGAGACGAGCAAAACCATAGAGTCCCAAGAATATCTCTGAAGA